TTTTTTTTTTTTTTTTTTTAATACAGTACTTGGATCATTTAGGCTAATTCTCCACTGGGTTGATTTTTCTACTGTGTTTAACTTGTCATTTTTAGGGCATCAATATAAATACCTGTGGATGGACCCTTGCAATTTGTAAAGGCAACATACATGAAGCATACGGTATGATATTTCTGTCTTTAGTAAAGATTATTTTGCATATCTTTAATTTGGGTGTGGCCACATGAAGTTTCAGTAAAGAATAACCACAATGGTTGCCTCTCCATGTGACTATGATCTGAACTATTAGAGTAAAACCAGTGCCTTGGGCCATCTGTTACATAATTACTTCGACACCAACCAGATATTAAAATGGCACAAAAAAAAAAAAAAAACATCAGAGAGTATCTGTTTTGCCTTTGTAGATGATTTTGTTTTGTTAACAAAGCTCTAAGTTTTATGGATAATATTCCTCAATTCTTTGTAAGTATGGAAGAGCTCAAGAAGAGATGGTCTATTGAGAGTTACAATATTCTCTATGAGGCCGTCAGTAACACAGGCTATAAAGGAAGTGTCTTTCTAAGAGATCAGGAATTTTTAATTTCCTCTGATTGTGAACTGAGTAAAGAATGAACAGCCAACATGTCTACCACATGCACTTAAATAAAGGGAAAAGGTTCTGATATGGATTACTATTTGACGGAGGAAAAGTGTGTAATATAGGAAATACAAGGGGAGAAGTTCAAATTTCCTTTCAGAAGCTGTTCCCCACTTCCCTTCCATTTATGCCTCAGTTATACCAGATGTCACTATAGATAATGGATGCTTAAGATCTTTATCAAATACACCTTTTCTCCAAAGAAGAAGACCATTTGCTAGAAAAATAATTATGGGACCAAAACATTCTTAATAATGGAATGGGCTTGGTTCTACCATCCACATCAACACGCCTTCTGCCTCTCATTTTTAATTCTAAAGATAGAAGAGATAAATGTTCAAGTGATGGGATTCAAATGCTGCTGCAACTCCTACCAAGAATATTTCACACCTCTGTTTTATGAATACGTTCACTGGGGCACAGTATATATCCCTGTTGGACCAATTCCACTTTGTGCTTCTTTTTTGATGTAGGCCTAACAAGGAAACAGAGTTTAGTTTCCTCCTCCAATATAGGACAAGAATCCACCTGAGATGTGGCTGCAAGTAGCCAAAAGATGTTGAGGTCTACAACTGTGTAAATGCAGCAGAGAGCTTATAATGAGAACAGATTCATCGATGTCAGCACGTGGTGTGTGTGTGTGTGTGTGTGTGTGTGTGTGTGTGTGTAATTAAACTTCACTCATCCCAAGCTCTCCTGCCACCCTCTGTTTTCTCTTATGTGTTAGCTCATGTGTATCACTGATTTTCTACAACTATTTCATGGGTTTGTGTGGACCTTCCTTTCAATAAATGACATCTAACTTCCTAACAGTTCTTGTAACCTAAATTTTATCACTGGGTCTGAATCCAGTTCCTTCACTGCTATCCAATAATAGGGATATGCAGAGCCAGCCTTTCTTTACTTTCTTTTTCATAAACTAAAACCTTCACTGAAGAGTGTGAAAATGGGGGGAAAAACCCAGCTCATCTGTCAGATATTTCTAGAGTTAGGTAAAATGGATGATATTTGTACAGTCAAGAACAGGAAAGTGAAAATGTGTCAGGTGTTCTTTGAGATGAAAATTGTATAATAATCACCTAAACAGCTTCAAGTTTAGTTGGACTGATTCAAAGTTCTCATTCTTCTATCATACATAAATCATACTCATACATAAATCAGTATCATTTACTTTCTTCTAATAGAATAGCAACATGACCACATTTGGGCTAATCATAATCCCTACATATTACAACCACAGTTTCAAAGATGTGATGAATATAAGACTTTTTAAATGCAAGGCACTTACATTTTACTTGCTCTGTTTTGCTTCCTTCTAGGAAAATAAAGAAGAAAAACAGGGAAATGATATATTTCATGCCTCCCATCTTCTACTTTCTTCTCATTTGAGCTACTGCAAAATTCAATTGAGAAACTCCAAAAAGTGGTGGAATTAAGCTGTTGAGAAAAATAAAGAACTAATTAAAACTGATCCCTAGGAACTGGTGAACATCAATGATACTTAGGTTTCTAAATTGTTAGTGTAAAAAAAACCAAACAAACAAACAAAAAGAAAAACAACTAGAGAATGTACCGAGTGCAGGCATTGTTTTCCCGAAGACAAAGGACTTGCCTCTCCTGTCTTGTAAAGATTATGGAAAGGAAATTCACATGTTTTGAGTACATATTCCAGCCCAGTACTGAGGCTAAATCCTTACAAGCAAGTTATAGGAAAATAAGAAAACCAGTTTCTAAAGAAATTAATAATTGGTTTCTCAGGATATTTTATTGTTGGCGGGTGAGGGTAGAGAATCGGGAATTGGGAGTTTATAAAAAGGCTATCCCAGAAAAATGATTTCTAAGTAACAAACATTCTACTGCAACAAAGGATGAAATACAAGTTTAGTAGTCTTAGCTTTAGATTAATTTTATTATTAATCCTTCAATGATCCTTCCCCAGTCAGGATTTTTCTATTGAGAGTTAAAAGAATCTTCACTTTGGATGTTTATGATGCAAAGTATAGATGTAATCTGGTAATGGGTGCAGTTCAACATCTGAGAAGCTTTATTGCTTAGAATAGTTCAGACATATTTCTTCCCATGAAGCCCATTGTGAAAGGCAATATAAAAGGGGTAATTTTAAAAGAAAATAAACAAATTTCAACAGTGATTCATTCAATTTATCCCATCACACAAGGGACTATTAAAGCAACCACAATTCTTTAAAAATAGGTATTGGTGGGCAAGTTTGAAATCTTAAGCTTTTGGAGCTTTAAAGCACAGACAATTTGCTTCCATCCAGTCAGGGCTATTTTCCATGGATTTCAGAATTTACAAAATTTTTCCAACAGGCGATTGTAAGCTATTTAAATATTCTAGAAGCATTGCAATCAATCAGGGGTTAATCATGAATCTGAACTTAAACACTGTGGTGTTTTCAGTGAATCCAATGTAAATATTGAACATAAAGTATTTATTTGAGGGAAAGAAATGAAAGATGCTCATTTGTGGAGAACTGAAACTGTTTGGGTTCTAAAGTAGATGCCACAGGTCTTACTTTAAAGACTATTAAACTGCCATGATCATTACATATATATATGTAATGTATATATATATACACACACATTGTTTCAGCACAGTCTGCTGGTGCATGCTTGTAATCCCAGCAGGCAGAGGCACAAGGATCACTGCAAGTTCAAGGCCATGTAGGGCCACACAGAGAAACTTTGCCTAAAACACCAAAAAAAAAAAAAAAAACATCATTTCACATTACAAATATGTGTACACCTGAGAACAAATTGATCCTAGGAAATTATTTGTGCTATCAGGCCAATTTGTAGCACCCATCTACTTTCGTTTTCAGCTCTCCCTGCATTTGATGAAGGGTTCAAATTCTCCTAGCGTGCATAACTAGCCGTGCTGAAGCCTGAACTCTGATTCTTTTGTCTGTTCTGTGGGTTTCCAATCTACTTTCAGTCACTCAGAACATCACTGTATGCTGAGAGCGACTAGATCGTTTTGAAGCAAAGCATTTTCATTAACAGCTTTACACAGTCACCTACCTCAACAGCTTTTTCTTCCAAGCCTCCAGAACACAAAGATTTTTTTTAAACTTTTGAAATCTAATTGATCACAATTATATATGGACCTCAGGGGGTGTTTCTGAAGCCATGGCTTTTGAGTCTCCCCATGTAAGAACCAACAGGGTTGTTTTTCTTGTACAATGGTTGGGCGATTTGGTGAACAGTAGCATTGCTTCATAACTCAAGCTGGCAAAAAAATGGCCCTTAGAATTTTTGCTTTTCTTGGGTCCCACCTAATCTTATGAGCAAACAGGAAAGCTGGTGACTAGAGAGCAATTAATCTCTTTTGGCATTCCTGTCATCTGTGTGGCCTCCCAGGAGGCGATGGAGAACATCAGAAAATGAATCGTTTTATAAATATTCACTTATGATTTACAAGATCCTGAAGTTTTTCCTTTGTGTTCTGTGCAGAAATAAGAACTGCGGAGGGTCCCTCCCCAAGGCTCTTCATTATTATTTCTTTTTATTCATTTACCCTTTTATTTGGGGCAGGGGGTTATTCAAGACATTTGGGGGGGGAACCTGTGGCAACAAATAGAAGCACCGCTCAGAAAACACCCGATTCTTATTCCTGCAAAGAACCAAAGTGTCCCTAATTTTTCAAATTATACTTTGACCCAGTTAACTGGAGTTATTTCTGCATTAACTCTCTGCTTCACACAGGCTTCTGTGCTATTGAACTTGCACTGACTCTTTTACAGGTTACTTAGAATTGTAACCACTAACATGTTAAAGTAGGGGTGGAGGATCCAAGACCCAAGGTGAAAGGAACAAAGAAAACAAAATTCTGCAAATAATCAAGGAGGGGTGAGGTTGGGATGTGAGAGCGTGTGGGCTTTCTAAGAGATGCATCAATTTGTCAGATGCCCAGGGAAATGAGTCAATTCAGGTGTCTCTAGGAATCCACTGTTCACATTGTTCATTTGCATCCAGCAAGGAGACCAATTGCTCCTTGCTCCATGGTAACTGCAAGATCATCTGGGTACACTCTCAAAAACAGGTCTCTCAAACAGAACAGAACAAGAGACATCTCTAAAAAAAAAAGCCAACAAATACACATTTGACAGGCACCACTTCACACCTGATAGTGTCTCCTCTATGCTCAGAGGAGAAGCTTAGCTGACCTTGTCATTTCAGTCAATATCATCTCCGGGACAGCCCCTGGGGTAGCGACTTTCTTTCTGACAAACAATAAGAAAGACACTGGAGACTCCAGTCCTTGTCCATCAGCAGATATCCTCTCACTAGTCTACCACCCACAGCAAATGCTCGGTTAACTCCTTGTGGGTAACCGAAGAAAGATAAGAGTTTGAAAGTCCAAGGTAGCTCTTATCAGAGGCAGAGCCTTCATCACCCCTTCTGACTGACAAAGAATGCCTTGCTTTGGGATTATAAAACAACTTCTGATCCAGCATTGCATTTTATTCCTTACAATTATACCTTCCAACACAGGCCAGTGTTGTGGAGAGAGAATGAAATCAGAGTTGAGTTAGTGGCCTGGCTGTAAGGTCGGTTTTTCAGGCCCTGAAATCGAGCAATCTCACTTTGTTTCCTGAGCTTACTGTCTCAAAGTCTGATCCCAGAGGTCTGGCCCTGAACAAAAAGTGGAGGTCAGGGAGAGAATGCCCAAAAGAGACAGAAGCTTCTCCTTCACCCACTTCCATTTCGTTAACTTGTGAATGAGTCCAGTACTTCGCTAAATGAGCAAAACAGGCTCTTTCCTGTACACAGGCAGCAAAGTACAAAACCTGTAGGTAGCTTAGCAGGGAATGTCTGTGCCTTTGGAAGCCTAAGAAGTACCAGAAGAAGTAGAAATGCAGGGTGAACAGGGAGCTGCAAGTTGTGGGTTCAAATCCCCAGCCCCAAGTCTGTTTCTTGGGGTACCTAGAGCTCTACCTTCATTCCATCAGCAGGACCATAGAACTGGTTGGAATGTCAAGTCCCAGAGTTCAAAACACCTTGTGGGAATGTCCAGGGACATTTCCAGCCAACAGAATGCACCCCACCTGCGAAAAGGGTACAAAGACAGGCAGGAAATGGGGACGTTGTAGGGGTAAGGTATAGGGCACTGCTTACTGACCTGGGCACTGGCCTCCTCCTTCTGCCACGCTTGCACACGCTCTGAGCTCCCTGGGGCGCTCCTCCGAGGTCTGGGGCTCACAGGTTGTGGCGAGAACTTGAGTGCGTGCGAGGTGGGAGGGGGGACTCAAAAGTGGGTGGGAGGAAAAACATCACCGCCCTCGCACCAAGAGGGAGCAGAGGCTCGCTTAGCTCCAGGGGGCAGAGCCAAGGAGTGGGCGCGGCGGCCCAGGGCCACCTGCCCGCCCGCCTGTCCGCTCCCCACTTGGCCCGGCCGCCTGGCGCTGGCAGGAAGTCCTCCAGCAAGCAGCCGAGCGGCTGCAAGAACCAGCACGCACCCCTTCTTAGTCCCAGCACCGGGCTTTTTTCCTACACCCCAGTCCTGAAAGTTACAAAATGGGGAGAATGTGTGAGGCTCAGCCGGCACTTTCCTATCACGCAGCGCCCCCATCACACACCCCTCCTTTGGCTAGTACAGCGTTGGGGTCTTAAAGGGACCGCACATCTTCTGCGGTCCATCGTCGTCCTCTGCAATGGATGCTCCAAAGAGCTCCCCACCTCTTGTGCATGTACTGAAGACCCCAAATCTAACTCTTCTTGGCTTCTCTGCATGGATGCATTGCACCTTCTCTCCTGCGGGGCAAGGACTCTTCAGTGAACACCTTGTCTGCTCCTGAGCCTGCGCTCACTGCGCAAGTTGAAGTAGCCTCACACATCACTCCCTAAGACATAGCTTATCATTTCAGGGCACTTCTCATATCTTCGCTGTGAAAAGTGACAAAAGCTTGGTGTCTTTGTGAGGATAATGGTTATAAGTGAGGGAAACTGATGGGGACTCAGAAATCTAGTTTCTGCCACAAAGAGATCAATCCTCAACCTCTGAGAGAGGGGTCCCTATTAAGTGTTAAATATTTTTGAGGAAAACTTGAAGTGGCCCAACATCACTCCCACTGTTTTAGAAATCCTTCAGATTCTCTATTGGACTACGGGCCTGACCTTCAAAAAGCAAAACAGCACCACTGAGTAGAGTTGCTGGAACTCGCAGACATACTGCCCCTGATGTGTGCTTATATGACGAACTACAGCTGTAGAGATTCTTCAGAATCCTCGAAAACTCACTAAAGCACCTTCTTGACAGACATTACCCATTTATAATTTGAACCCCCAAATTTGGAGAAGAGCTGAAGGGTATTTTGAACAGGAAACAGATAAGACTGATATTCGAAACATCTGTGCGCCACTTTGTGGCTTACATAGTGCATATAGTGCACTACATCAATATTAGTATTTAAAACCCTCACACTTGTCTTACAAACTAGCTAAACTATCCACGGGCCTCACCTTTGAAGTGATGAGGACCTTCGGTGTTATTCAGATCAACTTCTTCTTTCACAGAAGCGAAAACTGATACTAGCAGTATGTATCCAAGGTCACACAGATAGTAAATAACATATTTGTATTATAATTCATATACCCTGATCTTAACTCATTGTACTCAGTTATCTCCAGTCTATAGATGAGGATATAATTGACACTCAGTAAAATTGTGGCTAGCCAAAAGCAAGCAAGCAAACCCCTACATATTGGGAGAAAGGAACAAATGAAAATTGAAACGAGAATAATTGTCCTTAGGAGGAATCCTATTTTTCTACTTATTAAGCATTAATATCATTCAACCAGGCATTGCATTGCTAGAGGTGTTTATATCCTCATTAACAAAAGATAGAAGACCTTTATGAGATGTTGACTTCAGGGCTTAAAAGGTCTAGCTAAGAACGTAGTTGAGCAAATGCCCTAGGATGCTTAAATCTCATTCAGAAAGGCAAACAGGATAGACACCAGAAGCTGTAGAAGAGAGGAAACAGGATGGGAGCCTACTATAGAGGGTCCTCTGAAAGGCTCCATCCAACAGGGCATTGAAGCAGATGCTGAGACTCACAGCCAAACTGTGGGCAGAGTGCAGGGAATCTTATGGAATAAGTGGGGTTGGGATGGGGGATAGAAGAAACTGGAGGGGACAGGAGCCCCACAAGGAAACCAACAAGGCCAAAAAATCTGGGCCCAGTGGGGCCTGCAGAGACTGATGCACTAACCAAGGACCATGCATAGAGAGGACCTAGATCCTCTGCTCAGATGTAGCCAAATGGCAGCTCAGTCTCTATGTGGGGATCAGGGGCATTCACTGGCATGAACTCAGTTGCCTGCTCTTTGATCACCTCCCCTGGCCATGCAGCCTTGCCAGGCCACAGAGGAAGAGGATCCAGGCAGTCCTGATGTGACTGTGGGCAGATAGCAGAGGAGGAGAACTCCTTCAGGGGAGTAGGAGAAGGGGATGGGGGGAAGAGGGAGAGAGGGTGGGACTGGGAGGAATTGAGGGAGGGGGATTCAATCAGGATATATAATGATTAAATTGTAGAAAAATAAAAATAAAGAAAGAAAAAGAAAACACAAACACACACAAAAAAAGTCTAGATACATTCTGCTGTCCAAGTAGCCATACATTGCCACGTGCATTCAATTTGTGCTTTATTAAATTAATTTGAACTTGGGGATTTGTTGCCTTATAACTGTTTCTGTGCTATTTAGTGTGCTGATATTTTGTATCACTAAATAGCGTCCTTCCAGGGATAGGACTGGTTGTTCAGTTTCGTGTGTGTGTGTGTGTGTGTGTGTGTGTGTATGTGTGCTGCTCCCAGGATACCTTCCAACATGTTGACAGAAGTACTCAGGGAAATGTGTTTTAAGAAACAAGGGCAATCATGGATCCTAGCATTTGAAATAAATAGACTCATTGAGACTTAAAACCTCACCTATCTGGCTAAAACCACTCACCCCACTGGTTGATATAGTATCTAGATTACTGTATGATAAAACATCCCAACACTTAGTGGCTTTAAGCAAGTTCTCATTGTCAATTGGTTCTACTTAATTAGCTTTATTGAGTCTACTCAAGACCATTTATACTTTTTTTTTCTTTTTTCTTTTTTTTTTTTTTTTTTTTTTTTGCAACAGTAAATGTGGCTGCTGCAATTCCCTGAGAGAATCTTTATTAGTAAGAATGTTGTGGTCCTTGTTTTAGCTCTGGTTTTGTTTCTTGAATTGTAACTCTACTATAGGTGAATCAAAAGTAGTCTTCATACCAGTTCTTTTCCAAACTAAATTATGTTTTATTTTCTCTGTTTAGTAAGTGGAAATGAGATCGTAAATAATCTCATACTCATTTTCATTTCAGGCTTTCTGTTTTCTTTATGATGTATTGATTCATTTGCAGCTGTAAGAAACTTTAGAAGGATAGTTATTATAGGTATTATAATTATTATAGGTATTTTTTTATTTATTCATTCTAGTAGATGTATACTTATATCTCATTTTGGTTTTAATTGTATTTTCCTCCTAATATCTAATGATATTTTTGTCCTTTTCCCTTTGATATTGAACCTCAGTTTGTAACAACTCAGCCTAACCTCAAACATATGGTTTTCTTGCTTTAATTACCAAAGCACTAGAACCATAGCTATGTGTTATAAGAGCTGGCTCTAATAGCTAATGATATCTATCATCTTTTCATGTTCTTTTTTGACATTTGTAGATCTCTTTGAATATATTTTCTAGTTTGTCTAGGAAAATAGAAGCTAATCTTTGGTTCTCTTTCTGTGAGTTTTTGCAGATAAAAAGGGTTTCTTATAGGGATGTGATTGTGTGTTATTCATGTGTATTTATATGTGTGTTCACATGTGTGCTGGTTCATTTGAGTGTATATGTGATGAGCGCCTGAGGTTGATGTCAAGGAATCTTCTTTAATCACTCTCTATTATTTGAGAGACAGTGTATTGATTGAACCAGGAGCTCACTCAAACAACTAGTCTAGCTGGCCAGCTTGCAGCTGGGCTTCCTGTGTCCACTTTCCAAACATTAGATTTACAGAGAGTTGCTGCCACCATGCAGCATTTATGTGGGTTCTAGGGATCTGAACTCTGATCCTCATGTTTGTTGCTTGCTGTTTGTTTGGCAAGAACTTTAACCACTGAACCATCCATCAAACTCAAAAGTTGGTTTTTATCAAAATTTACTATTATGGATCATGTTTTGTAGCTATGGCTAATAAATTTGTCTAGTTCTGCCTATCAGGCATTCTCTCTTATATTTTTGTTCTGAAATTGTTAACAGTTTCAAGCTTTACATTTATCTGTCTCACATGGATTCACACATGAAATGTAAAGTTGAGATATTTAACTTCTCTGGCTTTGTGGATAAAACTACCTTTTCTTCATTGAATTCCTTTACACTTTGGCTTCACCAATTGCAAACACTCCCTGGAACTATTTCTGATTTCTTTGTGTATACCCCTGATCTATGTGTTTATCATTCTACCATCCTTGATTATTGTATATGGACTGAAGAGCTTAATATAAAGAAAATAATTCCTCTCAATTTATTCTTCCTAAATATTGTTCTAGCTAATGAAAGTCCCATGTATTTCAATATAAACTTCAGAATATAGTTATCTATGTTTACAAAAGTACTTACTAGGACTTGCATAAGAAACCGTAGCATGGTGCTGTGGCACATACCTATAATCCCAACACTCGGGGGAGGCAGAGGCAGGCAGAACTCTGTGAGTTTAAGGCCAGCCTGATCTACAAAGAGACTCCAGGAGAGCCAAGGCTGCACAGAGAAACCCATTCTTTCTAAAAAAAAAAAAAAAAAAAAAATCCATGAAACCTAACAATCAGTTTGGAGAGGACTTAATTAGTTTTGTGTTCTAAGTCATAAATGCTATATACCTCTGCATTTATTTAAATCTTCTTTAAAGAAAATAAGTTCTTTTTATCTCCCTCTTCTTCCATAAGGTTTCCGGCATTCTGCCCAAAGTTTGGCTATCAGTCTCAGTATCTCCTTCGATACACTGGTGGGTAGATTCTTTCAGAAGTCCCCTGTGTTAGCCTCCTGTCCTGTTTCTTGTCTTCTCCTACTTCCCATGTCTATCCTGTTTGCCTTTCTGAGTGAAGTTTCAGCCTCTTCCCTAGGTTCCTCCTTGTTGTTTAGCTCCTTTAAGACTATAGATTTTAGCAGGTTTATCCTATATTATATGGCTAACATCCACTTATAAGTGAGTATATACCATATGTGTCTTTCTGCTTCTGGGTTACCTCAGTCAGGATCATCTTTAGGGGACAGGAACTCCACAAGGAGAACAACAGAACCAAAAATCTTTGACCCAGGAATGACTGCAGAGACCGAT